GTTCACATAAGGGGCAGTCACAAATCTTTCAAAATCAAAGCGACAAAACTTTCGAATTAACCTAAATAGTACATACATTCCCTAGTATTTGCAGGCATGTCACTACTGGACTACCAGAAAGCCAAACTTACCAGAGCAGCCAATGTGTTACGCAAGAGGATCTCGGATGTTGATCAGGCTTACTTGGAGTACATGGTCCCTACCTTCAATGCAAGCAAAGACTACGCAACTGTCATGAATCGCAAGCGTTCTTTACTAAATTTTTTCTCTTCCATTAATCATGCGGCCTCTGCCTTACGCGGCCAAAGGGAAAAGACAGAGGAGTTTGCTCGACAGAGGCCTGACGAACAAGGAGAGTTCCCTCTCCTGCAAGAAATTAGTGCGCATTGGGATGCAAGCGAATTGAGTGATCTCTTAGATGAAGCGGAGATCCTTCTTGAGCGTCTAGACAATGAGATCAAACTTTTGCCAACTGCGGATATGCTTTACGACCGTTGCAGCTCTTCCGTGATTTCTTCTCAAACCGTTCCAAACTATAATGTGTCTTCAGCATCATCCTCTTCTAAAACCATTCAACCTCCATCGTCGCCGCAACAACTAGCGCCAGACTCACAGGTTGTTTGTAGCCGTCCCCCAACCAGACAAGACCATCCTTCTGATTCTCTATCAGTCGCGCCTGTTAACCCTACACCCTTTGTGAACGGTGCTATAGTCCCGCAGACCGGAGATCGGTGCACATTGCCTTTGGTTGGATTGGGTATTCCGCCAAGTAACGTTTCAGTTACTCCAAATTTCAGTACAAAAACTAAAGCGCTTCCAATCACGTCAAATGACGTCGTTTCCAATCCAACTAATGTATCTTCAAAAAGTTCCACTCATTTCAGTACTGCTTTAGAACAACCGATAAAGCTACCCGCATTCGAGATACCGTCTTTCCACGGTGATATTGACGCATTTCCCGCATTCTGGAACCTATATTCTGTAGCAGTGCATAACAACAATAGCGTGCCACTAGCGGTCAAATTTATGTATTTGAAATCTCACTTGAAAGGAGACGCGGCCAATATCATTGCTAACATCCAACCAACTCCAGAGAATTATGAAAATGCAGTGCGCACGATTGTGAGCACTTACAGTCGACCCGAGCTTCTCCGAAGTCGACTTTGGGACAAACTGAATCAACAGATGCCCGCAGATAATACTGCCATTTCACAGCGTGCTACCTTATGCGCTATCAAAGCTATCTGGTCTCAGATGAAATACCTGAAAGAGGAATCCGGCTCGACCGGTGCATTGAAATTAATACGTTCAAAGTTTCCTCGACGTACGCGTGAGAAGGTAGGTGAGCTTAAAAAGAAGGGTGATCCTATGTGGACGGTGGACGAGCTACTGACAGCACTTGATACAGTTGTTGATAGGCTGGAAGTGATAGAAGATGCCGATCCTGCGGATTATTCGATAAGCAAGTCCCAAGC